TCCACTTGTAGGAATGCAAATGCAGGTGGCTTGGTCGTCAAAAGGAGGCTCAGTGACAGATCCATGGTACAGCTGTTGCAATGCAGCAGAGATATTGTCAAGCAGATCCAACGCAAATGGGCGAATGATCTCGTCAAACAGTTCCCATGCAATTGGTTGGTATGTCTCGTAAGCTCGTGCGAGCTCATCCGATGCAGTGTTGAATAGATCGATTGCAACTGGGGCGTAAACCTTGTAAAGTTGTTGGCATTCAGTGGTAACAGCTTCGAACAGATCAATAATGGTAGCTTGAGGATGAATCTCAAAGCTCAACTTCAGCGAAACCAATGTCTTGGCTGGCAATCGAATGTCCTCATCGAGAGCAACAACTGGAGCCACGGTTGCTTTGAAAGCAAGGTTCTCTGGCTGAAGTACTTGAAACCCAACAGAAAGGCAGCAATGGCAGTAAACAGAAAGGTGAACTTCTTGGTCAACATGGTTGACAAGTGAAAGATGATGATTGATTGATTGATTGATTCGAAAGTTGAATGAATGAATGAATGAATGACTGAAATGGTGTGAATTCGGCAGTGATTGCAAAATTGTAAGGATGATTTGGACGCTGTCGCAAACAAGATGGCAAAAGAAACGGCTTGTAGAGCGGGTAGACTGTGTAGAAAGATGGTAGGAAATCAAACTATATATGTCTTGTCATGGTTTCCGTTTCGAGGTTCGACCGTGTTGAAAACAACACGGTTTCGTTTTGAGAGTTGATGCACGACTTGAAAACCGCTTCGCTACGTCTCGCCTCCTAAGGAACCTAAGGAACCTAAGGAGTGATAGGGAAGAATTGGTACCCTACTTATTATGATTTTGCACTTCAACATGCTGATTTGTTCTACTATTGTGTGTTATCACCGTCCACACTGCAATCAATATTGATGATGACTGAAGCAAAAATAAAAGAGGATGGTATTGTGGAGCGACGGTCGTTCGACCGTCGTCAGTATGATGAAAGAAATCCAACCAATAAAATGATTGATTCATTCGTTCTCAAGCTTTCGTCTTAGCGGTATTAGAAGATAGGCAATGTATATTGAATATAGGAGGTCATTTGTGTGCTGTACCGTATTAGCAATAAGGATGCACAGGATGCACAATCGCTATTACTTCTATTTGATAAGATGATAGTTCAGTTGCAAACTTACAGTATTCGATAGGAACGCCCAGACAGTTCAACTAGTATGGGCAAACTTCAACGGTTACTACTATATTCCATTCATATTCGTTTCCCATCCCAGCCAGGCACTACTCCCGCAAGACAACTAACTGGTAATCAATCATTTAGAAGCGTCACTTTTGCACTCTTTCTTACTATCATGAGCCTTCCAGCCAGGTTTTTGACAAACCCTAGAACAAACAATACACACTCAAGCGGCATCCACTGCTGCATCACACCTGAAACTACTTTTGTACTCTAGCTCTTCTTTTCGACTTTCCACAGTGGTCGCTGTAGTGGTGCCCATTGTAGATTTCGGGATTGCAAAACATTGATATCTCTTTTGCAAGAATGAGGTTCAGGTCACAATAAATGTCTTCTTTGTCGTCTCCAATCATCATTCTCGTTCCATAAAGTGTCTTTTTTCTTTTTAGAAAGAAAGAATTTGCACCTTCTTCTTTGCGGTACCAAATATCAAATAAGCGTTGGCCATCAGGCAACTAAATATAAAATAACTCTTTCAATATACAGTATGGAGCCACCAACGATATATAGGAGTGGACGTGAATCAATAAGCCACTTGCTCCTTTGGATTGATTCATCCGTTCATGTTTCAAAAAATTGGTCGAATGGATCTTCATATATACTGTATGCACAAGCAACGACTTTTTGCCAACTGAGATGAGAAAAAGAGACGACGAGATGTTGTGCATTATACAGTGTCAGTATATAAAATGCCATTTATGAATACAACAATCAAGAAAGGAACCAACAAGTTTTGGCACTCTCAGTATTACATGCGTTTGGGTGTGATATGCAAAGTGCGAGCGGTTACTTGGCATCATCAAAGGCAACGACAACGACAACGATCCTGCCGACCAGTATGGCGCAAATTACACCACCACGGCATTTTGTATCTGTGTTCCAATTTGGTTACGTTTCATGTACGTGTATGAAGCAATAAGATAAATTGGCGACCATAATACCACCACCATCAGTCATGGTTTTTCTTGGGCAATCTTTGGAAAAGGAGGAAGAAACCTTTCGCCTTTAAAATGTTGCCATGGAAGCAATAATACAGTCGAGTCAAGACGAAACGGTGTGTATAGTGTGATATGATGTTGTTATTGTCCACACTACCGTTCGATTGTGTAGAACAATAATTTGCGTGTGATAAAATTCAAAATGCCTTTGCTTCTTCGATCACGGATTCGATTTTGTCGAACGCAATATAAAAGACGTCATCCTTACTCGCTTTGTGATAATTGCGCCTTTTTACTAGAGATCACGAATTCGGATCGTAGAAAGATTGTCTGAATTTCATAAGTGTCTGTCCTCCTTCAGTTCGTGATTCAAACGTCCCGAGGAATATAATAACTTAACGATTATGCAAAAATGATAAACAGAGAAAGTCAAAATCACGATCAAATGTAGCGACTTGTTGTCACTATTCGTTTTCCCACTTAACGCACTTAGAACATTTATGCTCTCGTGATACGGAATGGGATACGAATTTGAATTTTCTTCGGATCCGCAAAATTTGGCCTCCACGAACATCAAACACATATAAATTTGTTGCCGATAGTCACACATCCATCAATTATAGAGGTATCACTAGTATAATATCTATCACTAACATCACTCCAAGGAAAGATGACGACCATGAGATCCATTGGCAAGCTTCTATTATTGGTGCTCTCCTCTGTCAGTGCCCAGACGTGGCCGAGATGGATTAATACCCGTTACGAATACAAACCTACCGCTGGGAATAGCAAGTGTGCGCTGGTGAACGTCGTTGTTGACGAATCCGGATCGATGGAGACGGAGCAAGCTTTCTTAAGAGAAACAGCACTTCCTAGAATTGCCGAAAGTCTCTACACGATCTATGGATACGATCACGTCTTTTTGAGTTCGAATGGCTTTGGAAGTCGATATGTCGTCTATACAGATCCTTTGTACTTTCGTCACCTTGGAGCTTCTAGATTCGAGCACACCGCACCATTTGCACCTGAGAATCCTCAACTTCTTGAATGGGTGAATAACGGAAGCCGCGAAGATGGGTACCATGGGTTGCGAAGTGCCATGTACTGGGTACCTCTTGTGATTTCTGGTTACAACATGCATGAAGAATGTGCCACCATCGATAGAAACTTGATCTTGGTGACTGATGAGGTAAGCTTTTACTTACACTGACCGACATGGAAAACTATGATGTATTGCTCAACATCTTCTCCTCTCTTCTCGTCTGGTTTAGGATCGAGACAACGAAAACAAAGGGGTTACAATGGACGAAGTCCAGCGATGGATGGCTGACCGTGACTACATTCTAAATATTGTCATTCCAATCAATATTCTTGGCGAAATTAACAATCTTGGTGCAAAAGTCACCAGCAGTGGTGCGGAAATGTTCGTTGCAGATGGGAGTGGAGGCTATACCACCGAGCTCTCGGAGGTACCTTTCAGCGAGATTGCAGAGAACAATCCAGCAGAAGGTTTTTCTAACCCAGAGCATACTGCCTACGAACATTATGTTCCACTGATTACTGATACCGAGGGTGCAGTGTGGTGTGTTGACTCTCTTCGACGGGGGATTAGAGATGGGGATCAAAATCTTGCCCTCTCATTTGCAAATGCCTTTGTTAATGTCAAGGCAGAAGAAATCTTCTGCCTTTCCACAAATTGTAACCCTACAAGTGGGCCAACTACTGCGCCTACTTCTGGACCTACTGGAGCACCCACTACATCTCCGCCTTCGACTTCGCCCACAGCGTCGCCTACACCTGCACCTTCGACTTCGCCTACAACGTCGCCTACACCTGCACCTTCGACTTCGCCTACAACGTCGCCTACACCTGCACCATCAACGTCGCCCACCACGTCGCCCACGCCTGCACCTTCGACTTCGCCTACGACGTCGCCCTCATCCACGCCAACAAAGAGCCCGGTCGTGCCAACTTCTTCAGCTGCACCTACTTCTTCAGCTGTACCAACAACGAGTCCGGCCGCTTTCCCTGACGTTCCTGACAGTACTAGAACCCCCGAAGCTACCGATGCAGGCAGCAAGGGAGACCCCCATTGTAAGTATCACAACAAAAAGGAGGCATGATCAAATCTAATTGGAAATTTTCCATTCTCATCGGTGATCTGTTCTTTCACAGTCAAAACATGGCAGGGAGAGCACTTTGAGTTCCATGGTCAGTGCGATTTGACATTGGCCAAGGACGATCAATTCGCCAATGGACTGGGGCTGAACGTCCAAATTCGAACCAAACTTGTTCGGTATTGGTCGTACATTAAGACTGCTGTCATTCGCATTGGACAAGACGTTCTAGAAGTCGAAGGGGGTATGGACTTTGAAAATCCACATCCAGTCTACCGGTACAACTTTGAACCTCAAGGAGAGATTGATGGAATGGGAGGCTTTCCATTGAATATCACCTACATCGGTGAAGGTTCCGGAAGGATCTACAGATACAAGATTGACTTGAGCTCCAAGTATCCTGGACTAGTGATCAGTATCGAAACTTTGAAGGAATTCGTCAAGGTGGATTTCAGCCAGCCTTCCGTAGAAGCCTTTGGGAATACCGTTGGTATTTTGGGTGATTTCAAGACAGGAAAGACTTTGGCACGGGATCAAAAGACAGTCATCCACGACTTTACCGAACTTGGTGTCGAATGGCAGGTACTCCCAGAGGACGACAAATTGTTCCATGAAATATCGCATCCTCAGTTCCCGGAATCTTGTATTCTTCCAGAGGATCCTAGAGGACAACGAAAACGTCGCAGACGTCTTGGTGATGCCAGCATCAGTCTAGAACAAGCCGAAGCAGCATGTAGCAAGTTAAGCGATCCGATGGATGTCAAGGATTGCGTCTACGATGTATTGGCCACTCAAGACTTGGACATGGTCGGTGCCTTTTAAAACAAGAAAAAGAGAGCGCAATAATCGTTCAACACGGACGGGCGTGCCTTTTTGGCTATTTTATATATATATCAGTTCATAGAATAGGACTAGGGTAGGGTCCTAATTGCGTGTGTAATAGATGCATAATTTTGGAAAATACAAGTTGTCATTTTTAAAAATACACTATCATCAATACATACCTAGTATCTTTTAGGAAGAATTCTGTTGGTTTCCCAAATGTCTTGCGATAAAATAAAGTACCTATGATATGGTGTCTCTGAAGGGACTTCGATAGGCCCCTCGCTGACGGCGCAAATAAATACTGTAACTCTCGTCTTTTTGAATATTGTCATGACAACAGCGTCAAACTGTAATGACAGCATCATCATTTGCGCAGTGAGATGAGCATCATCTTCCCCTCCGTTGCGTTACGTGCATGAAGGTGTGGCATTATGCTGCTTCGGCCCCTTCATTCATAACCAAATGAATCATATCAATTGGACTGAACCGGGTTATGGATCTGACAATTAAATTGGTAGTTGAAAGTAAAATGTCGTATTATCCAACTCGAGATGACAGAAGGTATAATGGGTCACCTCTACCAGAACGGCATGAACTATCAAGAAGGGCACGGAGATATTCGTCAATGGTGAGGCTGTTGTTGGTTTACCTTATTGTGATGCGCTGCCTGCAACTACTTTTTTACTGACAATTGATTGGGGATTGGCAAAGGCGTGCGGCCTCATTTGTGTCCTTCATCAGAACACTGCATCGCTATCTCAGGTTCACAGTGTATCCATCAACTTGGTCAGCAGTGAAGTCACCACCACAATATCAAATCGATTAGTCTTTATCGATAAGCAACATCAGGTGGACGTTGGACGTCTGATACAGTCAACAGCATCCGTCACGGCGCGGTTGCTTGATTGGATCGAGTTTCTTCCAATCGATTGGCAAATCGATTGGTGACACCAGTCGGAATGTATCCGTCTAGGGAATTGTTCATGGGTCGAAAACGTTCAAAAACTTTTGCTCGAAGCCGCTGGGCCTTGACATTTCCCTGGTGATCCCAGATCAACGTTAGCATGGCACCATTTTGAAATTCCTTTTTTTTGGATTGAAACAGAAATGGCAAGGTCCAAGCAGGAATGACAGCTGTCTCCTCCTCGGCCTTGGATGGAACGCTGATTTCCGCGAGTGAATCAGTATTGCTGGGTTTGGGAAATTGCTTCTTGTTCGAGTTGGGGGATAGCAAACCTAGTTCCTTGGGCGACAAATGGGAAGTAGCTTGAATGGCAGCCGCCAAAATTTCCAAGCATTCGTCCATTCGTCGTTCTAAATTTTGCTCAATCCTTCCCACATCCACAGCGAATTCCTCCGGCATGGAGTCGGAGAACTTTTTCATGTCTTCATTGGACTTCATCATCGTGTTCCAAATATTCAAAGGAGTGCACATCGAATGGGACCGATGAAGATTGCAGTATTCGTCACCCTTGATTTTCATTCGGTACCCTGATGGGAACCGGAGTACCCAGCCCTCCTTGTCTCCGGGAAGACTAGTTGCGGATTGGAGGACATCTGCCACAGATTCAAATTGGTATAGCTTGGCAAGACGGATACCGACCTCAGTCGCAAGCTCTTCGAGTTCGGAACGGCTGTATTCGCGGCCATTTGCATGGTAGGCACCCAAGAGTACCAATCCCGAAAAGTCATAGTCAATCACAATTTGATTTTCTGGGTAAATGATCTCTACCAAGATGGTGGAAAGGCAGTGTTGCTGAGAAATTTTGTTGGAAACATTGGATTGAAACCATTCAGTGGCCCATTCGGCTTGAGACGACTGAAAGGAACCACGGGTGGCCACTTGCCAGGTACCCTCATGGCAAAAGACAACACCCAACGATCCATCCATCTTTTCCGCGGCCTGGAATGGACCACTTGGGAATGCATTGGTAATTTCCCCATAGTTGAAAAACTTGGGGAATGGGGTTGCCACGATTCTTCGGTTCTCCTCATCAATGACGAGTCCCCGCGCCAGGCATTCAAAGAATCCCCACGTATTGGCAATGTAGTTATAAATAGTCAGCTTTCCGGACTTGTCCTTCTTGGCTAGAACTGTTTTGTTCTTGACAGCCCGCTGCAATCCCAAAATTAGTTGATCATATTCAATGGTTCGTGCTGGATGGGGATCAGAATAAAGAAGTTCCATAAATGTAGTTGCTACTGGGTTAGGCTTGGCATTTCGACGAAGCTCGTGCTTGAAAATATTTTCCATGGTCATTTGATTTTTGGCAAGTAATAAGTTTTGTTGTTATTGTGGATTGATTTGCTTTTCTTCTGAGATTTGCGATTGTCACCGCCCAAACGTGCACTGAATGAATGAATCGTGCACTAAGAAGGGGGAACCTCTCCCCTTCCTCGATATTTCAATACCGTTTGTTTCATAAAGGCTAAGTCTGTTCCGTCCTTCGGTTTCTTCAACCATCATCAATATTGATTGCAGTGTGGACGGTGATAACACACAATAGTAGAACAAACCAGCATGTTGAAGTGTAAAATCATAATAAGTAGGGTACCAATTCTTCCCTATCACTCCTTAGGTTCCTTAGGTTCCTTAGGAGGCGAGACGTAGCGAAGCGGTTTTCAAGTCGTGCATCAACTCTCAAAACGAAACCGTGTTGTTTCAACACGGCCGAAACTCGAAACGGAAACCATGACAAGACATATAGTTTGATTTCCTACCATCTTTCTACACAGTCTACCCGCTCTACAAGCCGTTTCTTTTGCCATCTTGTTTGCGACAGCGTCCAAATCATCCTCACAATTTTGCAATCACTGCCGAATTCACACCATTTCAGTCATTCAGTCATTCAGTCATTCATTCATTCATTCAACTTTCGAATCAATCAATCAATCAATCAATCAAACATCATCTATCAATTTACAGCCATGTTGACCAAGAAGTTCACCTTTCTGTTTACTGCCATTGCTGCCTTTCTGTTGGGTTTCAAACTTCAGCCAGAGAACCTTGCTTTCAAAGCAACCGTGGCTCCTGTTGTTACTCTCGATGAGGACATTCGATTGCCAACCAAGACATTGGTTTCGCTGAACTTGAGCTTTGAGATTCATCCTCAAGCTACCATTATTGATCTGTTCGAAACTGTTACCACTGAATGCCAACAACTTTACAAGGTTTACGCCCCAGTTGCCATCGATCTATTCAACACTGCATCTGATGAGCTCGCACGAGCCTACGAGACATACCAACCAATTGCATGGGAACTGTTTGACGAGATCATTCGCCCATTTGCGTTGGATCTGCTTGACAATATCTCTGCTGCATTGCAACAACTGTACCACGGAACTTTCACTGAGCCTCCTTTTGACGACCAAGCCACCTGTATTGCATTCCTACAAGTGGATGCCTTCAAATCTTTCAAGTCTTGCTACGAGAATTACGATTCCGCGGTGCAAGACTTGACAGATACTTGTGGTTCCATCCACCATGAGCTTGTACTGGGTTGCATCCGCACCCACTTTTCATTAGTTGCTCCATCGGTGTTGGTGAATCTGGATCAAGATGCGCCACCGAGGACTTTGTCGTCGGAGATGGCAGATCACCATCGCCGTCTTTCGCAAGAAGAAGAAGAAGACTCGCCCCCGACAACGAGCAGTCATGAGAAGGATAATTTGCCGAATGACCATGACGGTGATGATGGAAGCAATAATTCCACCATTACTAGAAGCAAGCCGTTGGAATACGAGTTTTACAAAATGGGAGAACCGACTCTTAAGTTTGTCAAGAAGTTGCCTCTTTCTTATAGACTCCATAGTCATGCAGAAGTTTTTGTCAAGTCGGCGTCCGAGGATCTCGTCAAGTTGTGTAGCTGTCTTTGGACTTTGGGGTATGCCATTGCTGATAGCATTGTCTACAACATCAAATACGAAATCATGAAACAACAAGCGAAACAGTAAACTAGCAAAATAATCATATGTGGGATAATAAATGACAAAACGAAATAAATCAATAAGAATGATCATAATCACCAAACCAATGCACTGTCTGTCTACTAAAATCCCTTTCCCTACGAGAAAAATTGACTTCGAGAACTACAACACTAGATAGTCTTACTTTGCCGGTGCTGCTGCTCTAGATAGCAATCCACGATCCGATGGCTTCATTTATTCCCTGCGTTCGCTGATATAGATCAAATGGTATCCAAACTGTGTTTTGACAGGTCCGTAGACCTTCCCAATTTCAGAAGACGGCGCGAAAACAACTTCGTCAAATTGCTTGACCATAGCTCCAGGACCAAACTCTCCTAGATTCCCACCCGACGAGGCGGATGGGCATTCGCTAAACTTGGCTGCTGCTTCGGCAAATTTTAGAGGGCTGTCTCCAATTTCGGTCTTCAGATCTTCCAACTTGATCTCGGCTTCAGCCCCACCACTCATGAGAATGTGCGACGCAGTTGCCTTGGTAGTGAAACGCTTCATAAAACCTCCAATTCCATCCATAAATCCACCAAACAATTGACAGTTTCGCCTGGTTGTCTGCATCACATAAGCCGATCTGTGTGGTTGTTGAAGTTGGCACTGGTCGATCTTTTGTGACACACCATGCGTTCGATTTGTTGTTTTCCATGGAAACGAAGCTATTTGGAACGCGTGGCTCAACGATAGTAGCGAGAGAAAGAGGACCAGGAACTGTTGCTTCAATGAACGCATAGTTGCCAATGGTTATTGCTTGGCTTGAATGATTATACCGGTATGTAGAAAAATATGCAAATTGAGATCTTCAAAATATTATCGTGGACAGCTGGAGATGCGATTGTTTATTTTTGCATGGTGTCATCTGTCGACTTCTTTGAATACTTGTATTCGTACGAATCGAATTTGATTTAGATCGCTCCTATATGTTCAATATTGAATATAGCCTCGTCTCATCCGCTCACAAGCTGGGTCATACCGGATACTTTCCAGAATCTGCTGGCCAATAAAAACTCACCAATGATCTCGGAAAATTTGGAAATATCCGATAGAACCTTACATTTTGTCAAATGCTGGTGCTATGTAGGGCATTTTGTCACCGGATTGTGCAAATGATCGAAATTTCACACTCACGATACAGGCTTGTCGAACAATGCCTGGAATTTCGCATGGCCAGGTCAGAAACTTCGAGATTTACCAAACTAAGTGCCAGAGGAGTCGCATTAAAACTCACAATCTGAAAGCTCCCATTCACAGTTTAAGACCAACGTAATTGTATTCACAATTCCAAGACTTTCCCAATTTATCATGCATACTCCCAAGAACAAAACGAAAATGTACAAAGCAAACTCACTTGCAGAGTTCCTTAAGGATGATATGAGTTCCTTTTGGGAAGACGATCACAGTGATGGCGAAGAAACAGTCGCCGTGCACAGATCATCGGGTATCAGATTTTCTGACACTGTTGCCATCCAAGAAATCCTTTGCATCAGCGACATGACGACCCGAGAGGTTGCTGATGCCTGGTACACCCAACAAGACTTCAAAAGCATGAAGGCAGAATGCAGACAGCTGGCCAAGTCGGTCATCTCTGGCGACAAAATTGAGAGATCCTCGCACATTTGCATGCGTGGCTTGGAAGAGAAGCTTCGTCAACGTCACAAGAAGATAAACCGAAGTGAAGCCATTGGTGCAGTTCTTGACGAACAAGAAGCTCAATTTGGCTATGGAGAACAAGACCCCGAGAGGATTGCACATGTCTACCATGAATATGCAGCACACTGCCTTGACGAAGCAATTGAGCTCGCACTTCGAGATCAAGAATCAGCTCTCAAGTTACACAGCCTTCCATCTGGTTCAAGGTCATCGTCACCTGAAGATGGCAGATGCACGTCACGTAGCCCAGCCGTGCCTAAGGCTTTTTGTGACATCGTAGCAGACTGTTCACGCAAAATGCCGAGAATACGAAAAGTCGCAGTTAAAACCCGAAATGAGTTTTTGAGATAAATAGTAGTGCTCATTTCATATTATAGTTCCTTTACAATTTATCATGCAATCAGTGGTTAACATCGAGATGCTCCAACCTACATGATATCTGCACGGACTCCCTCCCATCGGTTTCCAAGAAGACTGGCAACCGAGGGGTCCGAGAGAGCAGTCTTAACACCATCCTTGCCGTTCTTTGCGGTCATAGCGCCGGCAAGAGCTCGAATGATCTTTTCTGGGTTATCCTTGCTCGAAATCTCAGTCTTCTTGGCCTGTTCACACATCCAGGCTACATCAATTGCCTTGACATTGTACATGGCGGTCATTAAATCGCCAAGGTAATCAAAGGCCTTGGGTGCGTCGCAGACATAACTGTCAATGAACTCGATCAAATCGACCATTCCACCCTTGACGTCACTGGAAGATAACTTCTTCTTTTCCACCAATGTGGAAAGCATGTTGTAGATGGCGGCACGTTCGTCATCTTTGCAGTCAATGATGCGGTCCGAGTTCAATTGCACAAATTTCGTTCCGTAATCAGGAGTTCCACTAAGCTCGTCCACAGAAAGCAACAGCTCGGAAAGATTCGATGGATCTTGAATGTACTCGCTGCGGATGGACTTGACTCGTCGCTCGAGCTTTTCGGAACTGAGTGATTCTGGGACCTGCTTCTTGGTGGGCGTTGGCTCCTCGGCCAATGCTGCGTAGGTACTATTACTCTTCCGGGCACTGCTGGTGGTGGTGGTGTTAGAACCCTTTTGTGGGGAGGATCGTTGGGAAGAAGATGGACGTGACTTGAGACCTGTGCCACTAATGGTTGTAAATCCATCGTCGTCAGTCTGTGTAGTGGGTTTGGATTGTCTTCGATTGTTCGAACCACCAAAGGAGTTGCGGGATCGATCGTTGTTGGGCTTTCCTCCATAGTTGCTGTTACGACCACCACCACCACCACGGTAGTTATTTTGTGCCGATTGTTGCGCTTGGAGCTTTTCTTCACGTTCGACATCCTTACGAATCTCCTCCAATGTCTTTGCTTTCTCCACCTTTCGCCTGGGCACCCATCGGTTGGCCCTCAAATCAATCAAATCCTTGTACATGAATCTGGATCGTGATGGCAAATTCTTTTCTTTACTGAGTTTCACAATCTTGTCAAAGCACACGGTGATGAAATCAGCAGCATGCTGTCTGTCTATAGTCGATCCAATGGTGGAAAACATATTGCAGATGCCTTCATGATCTTCTTCGTCCATATCTTCGTCACCGGAATCCTTGTAAACTGGCAACTTTCCGGAGCCGTCGACGCATTCCAACTTCAACAGCGATGCAATGCAGAATCGCATGATCTTCTCCTTCAATAAAGATTTCTTGTACAGCTGACCAATGAATTTGACATTTCCCAGCATTTGCTTCCTACAACATTTCGTCAGTACAGCCTGATTCTGCAAAACGCGCTTAGAACAAATACAAAACGATACTTACTTGATCTTGATTCTTCTGAACTCCAACTCTTCTTCCTTCTCAGCACGCTCTGCTGCGGTCATTGATCCCTTTGCTTCTTCGTACTCTTTCTTTTCCTTCTTCCAGTCCACGTAGATATCTTGTTTGTTAAATTCATCCTCGCACTTGTTCAATAGCGATCTCTTGAATGAGTTTTGCTTAGTTGAGTCTGAAATACATTCCGGTTCGCTGAGGAAGATCTTGGACATTTGTTGGCCAACCTCCGCGGCATCAGCAACTGGGAAGTACACAGTGTAGAATTCTGTTTCCTTCTCTTCCTCTTCTTCGGGAACCTTTTTCTTCAAGATCTTGATAAAAATTCCCTTCTTGATTAGCAGCTTGTGAAGGACAAGTTCCATTTCACCACGTTCCGTTCGCTCTTGCTCCTCGTCCTGGAGTGCCACTTCCAAGCATTCCTCTGCTGAACCAAACGGGCCAACAATTTCGGAGTCGTTTGCGTTCACATCGTTCGACCAGCGATAGACAGAATGGGCCGACGATTCTCCTTGGCCGCCGCCAGCTTCGCCATCTTCGGTTGGCGGTTCTTCGTCGGATTCAATAATTTGAATATACGAAGAACTCTTCAGCTGGGACAATTTCACACACAGATCTCCATACATGTCACCAAAGGATGGTTCATCGATAGCCTTTTCGTAAACATTGTCTGTGAATCAAAGGAGATAACAAAGGTGATTGTCAGAAAGCGGCCGCACATGCTTCAGATTCAGACACATTCCAATCGCAATTGAAGGAGACTTACGAATCATCATGGTCAAGATTTCATGATTTACAATGGGAATCTCAAGCATTTGCGTAGCCAATCGGTTAAACTTCTCCTTTGTCATCTTATTCAGAATCGATTTGACCTTCTTTTCAGCAACAGCTGATGGCGCGGAATCCTTCTTTGGTTTCCATCCATTCTTTGACTTTTGCAGAGGTGCAACTGGGCCATCGAAAAAAGTGTCGTCTTGATGACCACCCTTGCCGCCCTTACCAGTATTTTTTGGTCTCGGTGGGGGAGCTACTCCACGAGCCCATTGGCCACCGCCGCCGCCGCCGCCACCACCACCCCCACTAGGAGTTTCGGTCGATTGTCTTCGTGGTGGTGGTGCAGCACCACGTTGCCAGCTGCTGCGTCCACCACCACCATCATCTCCTCCTCGGTTTCTGCCACCGCCGCCGCCGCCACCACCGCCGCCACCACCTCCGCGGCCTCCATCAGTTCGGGAAGGTCCCTTGGTGATTTCAAGCTCTGGTAAATCGTCAGGTCGCACAATGCACACAGGCAATGACTTGAGTCTAAAAGAAGAAAAGATATCAGGCAAAAGATAGGAAATGTGAGAAGCAATCCAGTTAATTAGTTAACTTGAGATGCCACAAAACAAATGGAAGCAGAATGCAATGCATCCGCAAATCTTCACTCACCGTGTCATTTCTTCCTTGGAATAAACGTGTCGCTTCTTTCCTTCAGCATTGATCTTAAGGTTGGTTTCGCCTTGTTGTTCCTTCTCCGTCACTTCCTCTTTTATCTCTTCTTCTTCCTTCTTTACTTCCTCCTGCTTAGCTAGCATGCTGGCCAAACTGCCGCCAATCTTACGCTTTGGTGGTTGTTCGGCTGGCTTTTCAGGAGCAGTCTCCTTCTTTGGCTCGGGAACAGGTACCTTCTTTGGCACATTAGCGGCTTCTTTCGTTAGTCCAGGAGGAGCTGATTGCTTCTTTGGTTCAGCAGGAGCTGGTTCCTTCTTTGGTGCAGGGGCATCAGCTTCCTTAACCTTGGGTGCTTCAGCAGCAGGTGCAGCTTCTTTCTTTTCCTCCTTTTTGTCCGCCGACTTGCCCTGAATCCGTTCCATTGCTAGCTGACGCATCTTGGCTCCAGCATCCATACCAGAATCTTTAGCAGTAGCAGCCTTGGCAGTAGTAGTTGCCGCTGATGCTTTGGGAGCTTCCACTTTTTCTTTCGTCTCGGTTGTAGCTTTGGAGCCAGATTTCTTCACCCCTGAAAGGTCAATTGGATTACCATCCTTATCCGTAATCACCAAGGCTTTCTTAGGTCTTGGCGCTGGCACTTGGCGACTAAGTTGCTGTGGTGGAAGTTGTGATTGATTTGGGACGGCCTGTTGTGGTTGACGAGAATTTTGCTGCTGCTGTGTAGACTGCTGTTGTTGTTGTTGTTGTGCATAATACATGTTGGGAGGAGGAGCCTGATGATACATGGGTTGGCCGCCATACGTTGGATTCCAACCACCTACTCGCTGTGGACCAGCTGGAGGCGCTGCTTGCTGAGCATAATACGGGTGATATCCGTAAGGCATTGCTTGAGGAGGAACACCATAAGGTCCAGGACGTTGTTGTTGCATATGCTGCTGATGTTGCTGCTGTGAGTATTGCTGCTGCGGTTGCTGCTGCTGCTGACCTTGCTGCTGAGACATTTGCAAAGACGTTGGTGCAGAAGGCTGCCAAGCTCCCATCGGACGTCCTTGGCCCTGAGCTCCACCATTATTGTTTGCAGTATAATTTGGTGTTTGAGACATTTTTTTTTCAGCTTTCGTTGTCTTAATCACTGATACAAAAACACGATTTCTATCTTGACTGGTTGTTCTAAAGGAAAAGACAGAGCTATAGCGTTGTTCTTAAGCTCGTCTCGATAGTATTTTGAGGATTCAGAGGCCGCCCACACCATGGTCATCGAAATTCACTCGCACTGGCAAGCCTGAGAATGTGAGCGACTTTGCGCGCGAAAACGCTGATGCTCTGAGGACCGTTAGCAACCAATGGGACATGAGTCCTACAGAAGTCGATCGAGTCTGATTGTAGTCGACCGAGTCCAAGATATTGAGGGATTTATGCATGCACCCAAAAATGCGATGAAACGAGGAGGAGGGCCCTTCGAGAAATATAGCCCACAATAAATTGAGCGTCACCAACCCTTCGATTGTCGAACAAAACCTGGCACCACACCATTCCCAAATGTGGTCATACAGGCAAAACGACGCTTCTCCAATTATGGGACCACGTCGATCGACAGTCCTTTCGAACCCGAGTTTGATTAAGAACGTAGTGACGGCGGTTCCAATGATTTGTGGACTGGCTAGAGTAGCTGGAACGACAGCAGCAAAGAGTAGATCAGTAAATGTGAAGAGTAGACCAGTAAAGGAGTGTATGTCTATTATTCAGTTGGACTTTTTACAGTGGTACCATAACCAGCAACAAAATTTGGCACCATCAGAGTTGTGGGCTCAAAGAAAGAAAATACTACTGTAGTTTCAGCAGTAACGTTTAAATCTTTTGCCTTTTGCCAGGTGGGCTATCCGTCATGCCATGATTACTTGCAGCTCCAATCTTGTTGGAATTCATTGATCCATTCATTCTGACGTCTTCCTGTGTTTGTTCCATTGCTTTGGCTCGAACAAGACTATCAAGTTGCGAAGCTGTGGGTGCCTGTGGTAGTGGTGGTTAAGATGATTGTATTAGGATTACTACACCACCTTTATGTATCATGAATCATCTCAGCATCAAAAAAATTTAACTTACCATCCCTTGTCCAAGGCCTCCTCCCAACAAGGCACCGAGTGAACCTATTCGTTCAGATGTCAGGTGCTGCTGAAGAGCTGAAGCTTGCTGCTGCAGACCTCCGAGTCCTCCTGCTCCACCAAAGCCAGCGGTTGCGCCGAGCAGCTTCAATTGATTCTGCAAGTCGAGCTGCTGTTGCATAGCTCTAGGATTGAATAGTGACTCAGCACCACCATATCCTCCGCCGCAGCCGGCACCTTGAAGACCACCAGCACTTGCTTGTAGACCAGCACCTGCGCTAAGAAGGATGGATCGCAGAGCGCTTTCACTCATTTGGCCCATAGAAGAAGGCGGTGCAGAACTGGCGAGGGGCTGGAACAGCGAAGACTGCACACTGGGGGCTCCGCTGGACAATGAAGTGATGGTTGCTTGTGCTTGAGTAAGGGCGGATTCGAGTTTCTCAACTCGAGAAGACAAACTGTCGTTCTTTGTCTGAAGCATATGCTTCTGATTAGTTAGCTCTTGAACTTGGGCTGCGAGAGAACCGAGAAGGTCCTTCTTCCTTCTCCTTCTGGCTCGAGCTGATGCTCGATTCATTGCGAGACGTTTCTCTCGACGGTTTTTCAAAACATTATCATCCGCACCAGAGGCCGATGCACAGGACGACGTGGTGTCGAGGTTTCCTTCTTTGCCCTCTGTCGTTGCCTCGTCGTCAGTGTCTTCTGACGCTAACGAAGGTGATTGGGGACTCTTGAACATATTTTTCTCCATGATATTATTTGTGCAAACTGATGGATTTGATATTTTGTGACAGGTGAAAAGAAAGTGAAGAAAGTGAAACTGTGGGGCGTTTGCTGCTTTCTGTTTCTTTAGGATTTTTTACAAAACTTCTGATCAAACCAAATATGAGTCAGCACTCGTCGACCTTGACGCACTTTGCACCCTTTGTTGGAACGTAAACAACGAGAAAATACTTATCAATAGAAAGTCGAATCTTCAAATCCCTAAGTAACACGACAGTCCAAAAGCACTTTTTCTTATGGTCTGCTCACTGTGGCTCCCGTCACCTCTCGCCATAGACCGATCCCATTGTTCGATTCGCTTCTCAGAATAATAGAAGAAAAGCCAGCTGAAAGTGCTTATAAGGAGAAAAGCAAGCTCACGTCACACGCCATCAGCATGTCAGTTCGATTCCTGCGTAAACGTTAAATGAGGAAACGTTAATTACGAAATTTGGATACTCCAATCACCGATGACTGACTCCCGTAAATATGACGAAAGACTTAAGACCCGCTGCAGTAACCCGAGACGGAGTGCAAAATCAACCGTTCCTTATATACAGTACGAACTTCTACTGGACACCCGACGAAAGATTCTTTCGTTGTTGCCGTCAACCTAGCATATATTTGCGGAAAATCGCGAACGGCTGTCGATGGCGAACCTACAGCTTCCGATCACCTGTTCGATCACGTGGATGCCTTTTTTGCCGCATCCTCTAAAAGGCTAGAAACGACGCCTTTTTTGCCACAACCAATGACAAAGACTGTCGATTCAATCGTGAACCTGTACTGTACATAGCACTGACCGCAATCAATCGAACCCACCGTTCGCTTCCAGCTGGTTTCCTGTTGGCCCAGCGGTATGTAGCCCAGTTATTTTTCCGCCAGTTCGCAATGACGCCGCTAAGAAGGGTTAACACCGTGGTACCCCGTGTACAATAATAGAAACAAGTAAGAAGATGGCGAAGGAAATATTTCATCGCGCAAACGCCGTAACTGTACCGGCACCGTGCCATCGAGTACTTACTAAAATGCATATATGATGGTATCGCATTTTGCTTGAGAACAAGGGCGTAGTAAGATACCAAGACTAACTCTGGTACAGTACTGTAGGTACAATGGAAAGAAAGAATCAACCCAAAATACTACAAGGAACAAGAGAAGAATAGGGCGCTGAAGAAGAAGGTCGAAGGGTGAGCCTTGTGTATATAT